TAAGCCTTATAAAATTTGTTGTATGATATATGATTAAGTCCTTTCATTTTCTTTGCTATTTGATTATAACTTATAGTGTAATTAAATTTTGTATTGAATGATTGTCATAAACATTTATTTATTTATTTATTTTGTTGAATGATATATGACTAAGTCCTTTCATTTTCTTTGCCATTTTATTATAACTTATAGTGTAATTAAATTTTGTATTGAATGATTGTCATAAACATTTATTTTTTTTAATTTTTTTTAATTAAAGCCTTAAATATTTTTCCACCAATAAGGAGAGAGTAGAACCTTACTTTTATATATATGATTCTTTTATACACAATAAGTTATTTTCATGCACCTTTATGTAGTAAATGAGAAAAACAAAACCCAATCTTCAGGCCAATTATGAAGCCCAACTTATAAAACCTCCCAGTGAGAAATCAAACACTAGAAAATAGAATTGTAGTCTTTTTTTTTATCAAACCCTCTTCACGCCCTCAACACTATGATTTCGGGAAAAAATGGATGTTTTGGGTAAAATTTCGGTTACTCGGGTAAATAATTCGAGTATTTGGGTCCAAAACCATATATATGTATTTATATTTTGGGTATATTCGCATAGAAGAATTTAGGATTCAAAAAGTAAATTTAAAATTTTGGGTTCGGATTCGGGTCCATTTTTTCAGTCCGTTCCGGGTTTTTTCCCCGGGCCTTAGTCACAACTCCTCATTTAAACAGTAACTTGTTTCAAATGTCCCATATATGTAGCAAATGAGAAAATCAAAACCCAATCTTCAGGCCCATAAATAAACCCAACTTATAAAACCCCACAGTGAGAAATCAAACACTAGAAAGTAGGAAAGATAGAACTGTCGTCTTCTTTATCGAACCCTCTTCACGCCCTCGACACTCTGATTGATTCCCAAATCAATCTGTGTCTCCTCTAGAGCGTTTTCGTTTGATTTCATTTCATTTACAGACTAGTCGATGGCCTTTTCGAAGCGTCTGGCTCTGTTAGGGGCTCCATCAGCGCTTTCTGTCACTAAACCTCTAGGTCATGGCTCACGTCGTCAAATTTCTAAGTACACTAAAGATTCAAATTTACCAAAGTCTAAATCTAAATCTAAACTTTCTCAGGTACGTAACACATATATACCTAGTTCAGTGCACTTTTACTTTTGTTTGTTTACATGTGATTATTACAATTGGTTTAGACAAAACCCTAAAACTCTTTGTGTGGTTTGATTATGCAAAAAGTTAGTAATTGATGCTTACATCTTTATTCCTTTTTTTAAAAGGTTGTTGATGATTCAATACAAACCAGAAGCTCCATGTTGAATAACGAGAACAGGGTTAGCTTTGAAATGTTCTTTAGCAATCATGGACGGGTATATATATAGCTTTTTATTTACTATACTCAGAAACTTCATCTTTTTCACTCTTTTTGTCATCATAATATGTGTATTTTTGTTATGGTGTCTTCATATATGCAGCATCGTTACGTATTTAGAATTCAATTAGAAACTGTAAAAAGAAAAGAGTTTATCATATTCAGCCTACCTGCAATATTCTGCATGTCAATAATCATAGCCGCCATTATTTCGGATTTCCTAGAAGCAAGACGCACTCATGATCCAAACCAAACAGGTAACTTCAAGAAACACACAATATTAGTTTTGTTTTCCTTAAGGCTAAAACAATATGGTAAAAGATCAGTGCTATTGTACCATATATGCTAGTCGTCGAGGAAAAAGACTTGAGATACAAGCAATTGGAAAAACAGAACGAAGAGACTCGTCAGTCGCTCATACTCCTACAAGAATTCATCGAGAAGCATTTTCCGGGATCTTTTCCGCCATCGGCCTCCTGATCTTTCTTATTTGTGTTTCTCTTTAGCAAACTCTATAATTTCATTTGTGTCTTCTTTCTAATAAACAAGTTTTTTTTATATGTTTTATACATTTAGTACATTATTTGTATGTGTAATTAATTATGCCTTGTTGAAAAATTGTTGGAAACTTTTCCAACAATTTTCGACAATGTTGATTATGATGGTCTTTTCCGACGATTAAAATCTATCGAGATTTTTTATTTATTGAAAAGTCGTCGTAAACTAATAACGAAATTTTAAGTTTATTTTTCTGGATGATAAAAGCCGTCGAAAATCTGTTAAATGAGTTATTGTCCAATGGATTTCCGACATTTCACTCTAGGAATTTGATTGCGTTCTTGCATTTTTATTAGTACAAGTTATTATCCACAACTTATTTCTTATTTTATATCGAAAACTTTATATGGACCTAAAACTATTTTAGAGTTAAAATATTAATAATACTTAAAACTTTTTATAAATTTAAAATATTTACAATATTTTAAACATTCCATAAAACTTTAAGTAAAGTTCCAAAAAAAATATCCTATGTTACTTTTATCTAGATGTAAAAGACCCAATTATTTAGTTGGAATAAAAATAGTTGATGTATTACATTAATGTCAAATAAAACCTTGTCGTTTGAAAATTGGTCTAATCAAACACACGACTTAACGGACGTAAACATGTGTGACAGAATCGCTAACTCGGGTAAAATTAGCTAGTATTGTTTTGGTCAACAAAAATATATTAGTCTTTTGCAAGGTTTTTGTGAAAAAAAATAATGGCATTTATTTCAAAATCATTTAATTTATTTCCTAAAAAAATATTATTTTGGAAGAAAGGTTCAAACCTGAATTATGTTGATACAAAAACCTGAATGATAGGAAATAAATTAAATGATTTTGAAATAAATGCCAATATTTTTTTCACAAAAACCTTGACTAATATAGTTATGTTGACCAAAACAATACTAGCTAATTTTGGTCCACAGTCTTATTTATTCCAATTATTTTTTTAGGCTATAAATTAAAAGCTAACATTAGCCATTCCATCTTATATGTTCTCTATAAATAGTTGAATACATATTTACTACATAGATATTCCAAACACAAGAAAAAGTAAAATCAATTGTGCAAAAATCAATTGTGCAATTGGTCTAATATATATAAAAATATATTCTTTCACGATGATGTCCCATTTGACAAATGGATCTTCACAATGCTTATGGACAAGCATTTGCATTGTGTTATTTGTTATGTCAATGGCTCGTGGAGCTGTCTCTACAAATTATGGAGAAGCTCTCACAAAGAGTCTTTTGTATTTCGAAGCTCAACGCTCTGGAAAACTACCAATGAAACAAAGAGTTACTTGGAGAGGAGACTCTGCACTTAGAGACGGTTCTGATGTTCATGTAATCCAAATTTGCCCTAAATATTAAATTTTTATGTATATTTGTTAAATTTAAATATGAATATTTGCTAATGGTAAAACATTATAGGTTGATCTAACTGGAGGGTACTATGATGCCGGAGACAACATGAAGTTTGGATTCCCGTTGGCGTTCACGACGACAATGCTAGCTTGGAGCAGCATAGAGATGTCATCGCAGCTTAAGTCCCATAAGGAGTACCAACATGTCCTTGTGGCTCTCAAATGGGCGACTGACTATCTCATCAAAGCCCATCCTCAGCCTAATGTTCTTTACGGACAAGTGGGTGATGGAAACTCTGACCACGGGTGCTGGATGAGACCCGAGGATATGACCACTCCGCGTCCTTCATATCGCATTGATCCTCAACATCCAGGCGCAGACCTAGCAGGTGAGACAGCTGCTGCAATGGCCGCAGCTTCTATTGCCTTTTCGCGATCTAATGGAGCCTATGCAAAAGTACTCATTGGTCATGCAAAAGCTTTATTTGAATTCGCTAAGGCCCACCCCGGGAAATACCAAAGCTCCATTACTGACGCCGGTCGCTTCTACGCAAGCAGTGGATACGAAGATGAGTTGTTGTGGGCTGCAGCTTGGCTCCACCGTGCCACCAACGACCAGTATTATCTCAATTATATAACACATGCATCTAATAGTGGAGGCCCAAGGACTGTTTTCTCTTGGGACGATAAGTTCGTGGGTGCACAAGTATTGGTCGCCAAGGTAGGTTATGAATATTTCATTACAGAAAACATATCAGTAACTTATGTAACAAGAAATAAATACAACAACAAATTTGTGAAAATGCAGCTTGCACTTGAAGGGAAAGTAGCAAGCAATGGAAAGATCGCAGAGTACAAGAGTATGGCGGAGCAGTTTATCTGCAACTGTGCTCAGAAAGGTTCCAATAACGTTAAGAAAACTCCGGGAGGTTTGCTCTGGTTCTTGCCGTGGAACAACCTCCAATACACAGCTTCTGCTTCCTTCGTCCTCTCTGCCTATTCGAAATATCTTAAAGACGCAAAAGCCTCCATTCAATGTCCCCATGGCGCTCTTGGAGCTTCTGATCTTCTCAACGTCGCTCGTTCCCAGGTAGCTAATAGAATAATAACCATAAGACAATTTCTTGAAATGATATCAATACTTTTTTTATATTAAGATCTAATAATGATTTTATTCTTATATATTTACTAATATGTGATGACAATACTTTGTTATATATATAGGTAGATTATATACTTGGGTCGAATCCTCAGAAAATGAGCTACATGGTTGGATTTGGGACAAATTATCCCAAAAAGCCCCACCACAGAGCAGCTTCCATTATATCGATCACCAAGGACAAAACACCCGTGGCGTGCAAGGCAGGGTTCGACAAATGGTTTCACAATCCAGCACCAAACCCTAATGTTTTAACCGGAGCAGTCGTAGGAGGACCCAACGAGAATGATTTCTATGGAGATGATAGGTCTGATTATCAGCATGCTGAACCTGCACCAGTCACCGCTGCTCCACTTGTTGGTGTCTTGGCCGCCGTTGCTTGATCATTTATCACTCTCTTTACTTAGATTTCATTATCTTACTTGTGTCAGTCCTAGGCTGTTCATTAAGCTATTATTCCTAATTAAAATCTAAATATACAGTATTTTGGATAATAAAACATAGTTAATCTTGAAATGTTAGCTATTTTCGACATGATTGGATACAAAATCATTACAGAAACATGTCTTCCCAAAAAAGATCGAAAAGCTGGTTCCATTAATCTCTTCTCTAAAAAAGTATATTCTGTTCTTAACAAAACCAATTAACTCAGCACATAAGAATTTGTATATTATCAGAAACTTCATGCTACCAAGAGTCTATAATTCGGTTATTTACAAATGTTGCATCACTCATAGAGAAGCGATTTCCTGATCTTTCTTATTTGTGTTCCTCTTTCTCAAATTCTATAATTTCATTTGTATCTTCAGTCTAATAAACAAGTTTTTTTTAATATGTTTTAATCATTTAGTAAATTGTTTGTATGTGTAATTAATTATGCTGACTTTCCAACAATTTTCGACAATGTTAATTATGATGGTTTTTTTTGACGACTAAAAACTATCAGATTTTTTTTTCATTGAAGAGTCGTCATAAACTAATAATGAAAATTTACATTTTTTATGGGTGATGAAAGCCGTCGAAAATCTGTTAAAGGTGTTATTTTTCAATGGATTTCCGACATTTCGCTCTAGGAATTCGATTGCTTTCTTGCATTTTTGTTGGTACAAGTTATTATTCACAACTTATTCTCTTATTTTATATCTGAAACTTTATATGGAACTAAAAGTTTTTTAGAGTTGAAATATTAATAATACTTAAACTTTTGGGGAATTTTCTTAAATACCATGAAAATATGTATTTTTCCAAAAATACCATTACAAGTTTTCTTTTCTTAAAATACCACTAAAATATATTTTTCCAAAAATAACACAAAACTAAAACTAATTTTTCTAACATTCAAAACTAATTTCTAAATTCTAAACATTAAACTCTACCCCTAAAAATTATACCTTAAATATAAATAGTCAACCCACACATTAAAAAGAAAAATTTTACACCTTCAAAAATCAACTTTTATGTTTATGGTATTTTTGGAAAAATAAAACTTTTGTGGTATCTTTGGAAATAAAAACAAATTATGGTATTTTTGAAAGAGAAAACTAAAATTATGGTATGCAAGAGAATTTCTCTAAACTTGAAGTTTGAATATTTAAAATATTATAAACATTCAATAAAACTTAAGGGAAAAACCTAAAAAAATTTATCCTATGTTATTTTTTTTTTAGATTGTATAAGACTCAATTTTTTAGTTGTAATAAAAATAGTCGATGTATTACATTAATGTCGAATAAAATTTTCGTTTAAAAATTGACCTAATTAAACACACAACTTAACCGACGTTAACATGTGACAAAATCACTAACTCGGGTAAAATTTCATCGATATAAAGGAGTTGTTTTTGTATCAACATAATTCAGGGTTTGAACATTACCTCCAAAATATTTTTTTTAAGGAAATAAATTAAATGCTTTTGAAATAAATGCCATTAATTTTTTCACAAAAACCTTGCAAAAGACTAATCTAGTTTTGTTGACCACAAAATACTAGCTAATTTTGGTCCACAATCTTTTTTTTTTTTGTCATCATCCACAATCTTATTTATTCCTAGCTAATTTCTAGTATTGCATTTGTCATCATCAGTGTGTTTTTATTGATATTGCACGTCGTTAAATACACAACAAGTTGTTAAAATGACATTGACGAACGTTGAGCCAGCTAGCAACTTGATCGATCATGCACTATTAGAAATTTAGGATGTGTAGAGGTAGAGCACACTTGACTAAACCGTTTATGTATGTTGAGTTGCTACTGATTTTATATATTTGCATGCGGTTTCAAGATATAGGATTGGTTCAAGTGGTAATATATCTAGCTTAACCTAGCTTAAAGAAGATTTGAAACGTTATTAGTATCCTTATAATATAATCTTATTATAAAGAAGTTCTTAATTTTACTATGCATATAAATATTAATAATAGAAAAAAAAAATTTATACCCGCTGAATAATCATGATACTAAATATTAAAAAAATTGAGAGAAATTTACATGTTTTCTTGACTATCTTGTTTTCTAACTTTTGTAAAAGTTACATGTTTGGGATAAATCCCACTCTTTTATTGGGATTTAGCATTTGTTTATCAGATGTTTCATAACTCAAATAATGGATGTTTCATATCACAACAAGAAAACAAGATAGTCAAGAATTTTTTATATGGGCCTTCAATTTACAGCCCAATATCAAAATCGCCTTTTTAGTTACAACCCAATAGAGTCCAATTGCATACCTGGCAATTCAAGCTGACATGGCAAGGGTTTGCTGACATGACATGAAATGATGACGTGTCAGAAGATTGCTCTAATGAACTTTGCGGGCACGTAATGGGTTGGAATTGGATTGTGTTTTCACTGTTTTGGTCTACAAAGAAACTTGTCAGGGGTAAATACGTAATTAAACACCGAAACCATTGAGAGAGACGAAGAAATCAATCTATCAAAACCCAGACAACTAGACAAGTAGAAGAAGAACCCTTTCTCCAAGGTCTTCTCAAATCCTCTCTCTTCTCTCTCTCTATCTATTCTCCGATTACCCAACCACCGTCTCCTCCGTCGCGAATCGATAAACGCGGTTAGGTTTTTATAGCCGTCGTCGTTGTTCCCCAGTCTCCTCCGGTTAATTGATTATTTCAATTTCCCTGATCGATGACATTGTGCAAGCGTTTGGCTCTATTAGGAGCTCAATCCGCGATTTCTCTTGCTAAACCTCGAGGTCTCGGCTCCTCACTCGGATTGATCGATCGTCGTCCCTTCCCGTACCGTTCATTTTCAGAACTCACCAAAGCTAATGGGAGACGTGCCTTTCTCGTTGATACATTGGCTCTGGTACTTTTTCATTCTCTCTATGTAAACTAGATCTAAGAGCTTGCCATGAATTTGGAACCTTTAGGTGTGTTAGGAAGTTCTTAGGAGAAAGCAATGAATTGAATATTATAGTTTCCTTTGGGTTGGTTTTGATGTTTGTGTGTGGTGAAAGGTGAGGAGTCTTGAAGCTCAAGGTGTTCCATCAAAACAAGCTGAGGCGATAACTTCTGCTATTACTGAGGTTTTGAATGACAGCTTGGAAAATGTCTCTGAGTCTTTTGTGTCGAAAGCAGAAATGCAGAAGGTGATAGCTTGAATTACTGTTCATTAGTTTGTGGGAAGTTACTGTATGAATTATGTGAAATTCACTTTTTCTTACTTGTGACTTGTGTTGTGTGCTTGCAGATTGAAATGATTCAAGATTCGAATCTGTCCAAATTTAAATCTGAAGTAAAAAGTTCTCAGGTAACATTGATACATTAGTGTTTGTTTTTGATTAGTAGTGGTTCAGGACCTAGAAAACCTCGTCGCTGTTTTGTGGTTTGGTGTGAAAAAGTTCCATGTTCTGGAAAATAAAGCTTATGAGGTGTCCTGCGTTTAATAATCTCATATACAATGGTCTTAGTTACATTTTTGTTTAGGTTTACAAACGTGGGCTGCTCATTAGTACATACATATCCTGGAGTGTGTTATTTAAGTTCTTCATCTTCTGCCTCTTTGTTATGGTCTCTTTATGCCCATTATGGATATGGATTAGTTTGAGAGGTTGTGTTACTATGTAAGTAGAAGATCCGAAGTACTTGTTGGTGGATATTGCGGAGGAAATCAGGAATAAAACACTTAAAAAGCTGAGTTTTTTCTCTGAATAATTTAGTTTGTGTAGGAAGGAGGCCTGTTTAGTTTTTCTTTCAAACATTTTTTGTTGCAACTTTCTATGAGTTGGAGTCTTAGGCATGTGTAGCTAGAATACTTGGTATAATGTGTTTTATCATTGTACTATACTTTTTCATGTTATGTTGTGTTAAACCATGTACGCGTGTAACATCAGCATCTACCATAGTCATTTTATGTCTGTGCCTTCTTCCTGTACAACACCGTAACAAATATTTATGATTCCAACTCTTCTTCATTCTTTGTAAAGGAGCATCATTTTACTGTATTGCAACGTGAGACAGAAAAATTGAGAGGCGATATAGAGAAGATGCGAAGTGAGCTAAGGTTTGTGACCATAGTTTGCCTTGTAATATGCTTTTAACTAGTCTGAAACCAAGACGTAAAGACCTCTCACTTGAAACAGGTACGAAATTGATAAGGTCACAGCTGGACAACGATTGGATTTGAATCTTGAAAGAGGGTAAGAAAGCTCTAAAATTTGCACAGTATTATGACCATTAACCAACGTAGCCATCTGCAAGTGGAGTCGTGAGATGTGTTTATTAAGAAAGACTCTAGAGTATTTAGTAATCTGGTTTTGGTTGTTTTGTTACTGACAGTCGAATACGTGACGAGCTAGCTAATCAGAATACCGAAACAACAAACCTCACAAACAAGCTTGACAGGGTATAAACAACTGTTCCCTTTACTCATGAGTTTCATTATACACTAAAACGTAGCAAGATAAGAAAGACATAATATGTTTTGCTTTTGCAGGAGATTCATGCGTTGAGAGCTCAATTAGAAGCTTCAAAATACGAGGTCATCAAATATTGCATAGGTACACTTGTGTCGATATCAGCAGTGGGACTTGCCGTTCTTCGTATCATGATTTAGGACGATCCCAAACACTCAACACACTGCTCTGTGCTTACTACAGCCTTAAAACCATATTGGGAACTTGTCATTTTTTTTACTTGGAAACCCACCAATATGCCTTATTATTATTTCTAACGATCAGAGAATATTATTGTTTCTGTGATCTAGTTTACCATCATCCTTATTGAGAATTATGTCAATCCAAGGAGTATTGGGTTCTTCCATTTGCATCATTAGTTTGAAACTTCTAATATGATCATGTCAATGTCAGTGTAACACAATGCTACAGCAAATGTGAAAAGAAATTGTCGGATAATGTTTATATAATTAGCCAAACTGAAAGCAGCAGTGCAGCACTAATCTCAAATCTCAGATCTCAAGACTTTTCTTTAGACTCACCCGTTATGAGTTTCTACAATAGAACTACATGCCGTTTTTACTTCTGTTATAAACAACACGCATGTTTAGTAGGACTATACATTTCCGTTATTAGTTTATACAAGAGAACTACATGACGTTTTATTAAGTAATAAACAGCACGCATGTATAGTAAGAGGATTCGAAACGGCTATATATATCTTCTTCTTCTTCGTCAAGACTCAAGACTCGAGAGTAATTGAAATAGAAACAAACAGAGTCTGTAACAAACTTCCTCCGACGAAATCACAGAGAGATTAAAAATGGCGACTCAGGAAAATCACGATCTCGTCGTCAACAACTCGAATGACATCATCTCCTCTGACGTTTCGCCCTCTGTTATTCCTCCGCCGCACTCGCTCACGTCGGAGACCACCACTAATGATCTCGTCGCGACTGATTCTGCTCTCATCGATGATCACGTAGCTGAAGACGACGATAGAGTTGTTCCTCGCGTTCTTGACAGAGGTTCAGGTACGTATCGCCGGAGTATGGTGTGGCTTAATGTAGGTCCGTGTTATTCAATGGGAGACTATAACAATCACGATGGTGATACTGATGAAGAAGAAGATGCTTATAACGATCTTGATGATGAGTTAGTACCAAGAAACGTGAGCAAGAAGCTAAAGAGAGATAGGCTTAGGAAACTTGGGAAGAGATCTTCGCATTTGCAGGTGAAGCGTGGGTGTGTTCAAGGCAAGCATGGGTTTGGTAGCAAATTCATGAGCTGAACCGGTTTAGATTTTTTGAAATGGTTTTTTCAACGAACCTGATTTGTTTAATCTTGGTAGTGTTTGATTTGCTTTTAGTTGTTCTTGGATTTGTTCTGTTTCTGCAATCTTGTAAATCGATCTTTACAACAAAAGAATCAATGAGGAACATTTTACATGAGGAAGTTAAAAGATTTAGTAGGCCTTGCAGTGAAAATAGATAATAGGCCCATTTTGATATCCAAAATAAAAAGATAATAGGCCCATTAAAAAGCCCATTAAATAGTGGCGCCAAAATCAAGTGAAGTGTCCCGCCTAATTAAAGCTCTACTCACACTAAAAAGCGCCGAAAGAAACTTCTCTCACTCCGTCTCACTCAATTCTCCGGTCAGCCATGGCTTCCGACTCTTCTCCCGGCAACACCAACGACGGTACTAACTCTATTCCTCTCTCTCTCTCTCTCTTTAATTCTGGAATCGTTTCATGATTTTGACGAATCTCACTACTTCAGCTCCTTCCTCTCCCGGAGAAAACGCTTCGAGCCCTATCGGAAACACATACTCTTCCCCCGCCGCTCTCCGCCGTCTCCACCGAGGAAGATCTTCTACTCCCACGCAATTCGCAACTCCTCCACCACCGCCATCACGTGTCCCGTCATCCAATTCCACTCCTCCGACATCTCGTCCTTCCGCCGCCAGATCTAATGGAAAAAGAGCACGCGGGGGCGGTGACCCAGGGACATCACCGGATGCTGACGAAGCGATGCCTTCTTCCGATGACGGTGAAGACGACGGCGGTGATGATGCTACTCCGACTTTTGTTTGGGGCACTAACATCAGTGTGCAGGATGTTAAATCTGCGATTGAATTGTTCGTTAAGCATTTTAGAGAAGCTAGAGAGAATAGTGATGATTTGTTTAGAGAAGGGAAGTATATGGCTTCTATACGCAAAGTGATTGAGATTGAAGGAGAATGGATTGATGTTGATGCGTTTGATGTGTTTGATTATGATCCTGATTTGTACAACAAGATGGTTCGGTATCCTTTGGAAGTTCTCGCCATTTTCGATATTGTGCTGATGGATATTGTTTCCACGATTAATCCTTTGTTTGAGAAGCATGTTCAAGTGAGGATTTTTAACCTCAGGACATCTACTTCCATGAGAAATCTCAATCCATCTGGTTAGTATAATTCAGTTCTTGGTTTCTTGGTTCTTAATTCTCTGTAATGGCTAGCTTAGCTTATGTTTGGATGTGTGTTTTTGGTTTGTTAGATATCGAGAAGATGATCTCTTTGAAAGGTATGATTATTAGGAGTAGCTCTATCATTCCTGAAATCAGGGAAGCTGTGTTTAGATGCCTTGTTTGTGGATACTTCTCTGATCCCATCATCGTTGATAGAGGTAATTTAATCACTTGGGCTTATCAATTTCTGTATATACCTGCAAGTCTCTCCTAATGTTTGTTTGATTGTTAGGCAAAATAAGCGAGCCTCCAACTTGCTTGAAACAAGAGTGCATGGCCAAGAACTCCATGACACTAGTGCACAACAGATGCAGGTAAGTTTTAGACATAGAATTGGTCAGTTTGTCTGATTCTTTTTAAAATCCTGTTACTTACCTTCTTTATTTGTGAATCAGGTTTGCCGATAAGCAGATTGTGAGGCTTCAGGAAACTCCTGATGAAATTCCAGAAGGAGGAACACCTCACACGGTTAGCTTGTTGCTGCATGATAAGCTAGTTGATAATGGCAAGCCTGGTGATAGAATTGAGGTAACACAAACAATTGCAGTCATTTTATGAGGGTAGTACATGTGTTACTATGATTTGGTTGACAGTCAAAGCTTGTTTTCTGGATAGGTCACTGGAATTTACAGGGCAATGACTGTCCGAGTGGGGCCTGCTCACAGAACTGTGAAATCTGTGTTTAAGGCATGTCATCTTATTTTTTCTTCTGATAGTAGTGCTAGTTCCTTTTTATTCTAATGATGTTCTGACATTGTCATGTATGCTTTCTTATGAACGTCGAGTACAGACCTACATCGATTGTCTTCACATAAAGAAAGCAAGTAAGTTAAGAATGTCTGCTGAAGATCCTATGGATGTTGACAATAGTCTGCGTAGAGTTGATGAAGATGTCGAGTTAGATGAGGAGAAGGTTCTTCATCTTTTCAGTTAAATAGATGTTGTGTTTATTTGTTAATTTTTCCTTCATTCCTCCATTCCAACCAAGTTTCATGTTAATTTTCAGCTGAGGAAGTTTCAAGAACTCTCTAAACAGCCAGATATATATGAGAGACTTAGTAGATCACTAGCACCAAACATCTGGGAGTTGGATGATGTTAAAAAGGGTCTTCTGTGCCAGGTGCTGTAACGCTTTTGATACTTGCTAATGTTTTAAAAATGTCCAAACAACATTGGTTCCTTTTACTGATACAAATTTTACTCGTGAAGCTTTTTGGAGGGAATGCTTTGAACTTGACATCTGGAGCTAATTTCCGTGGTGACATTAACATCTTACTTGTTGGTGACCCTGGTACAAGCAAGTCCCAGCTGCTTCAGTACATACATAAGCTTTCACCCCGTGGAATTTATACAAGTGGGCGAGGTAGCTCAGCTGTTGGTTTGACAGCTTATGTTGCTAAAGATCCTGAGACTGGAGAAACTGTATGTTAATCTTTTCTTCGATCTTTTTTGTAGTCAGCTGGCTTTTTCGTTGTATCTTCAGGGTTTTCTTAAACATGACCTTTTAAACGTAAAATGCGACATTGTATAGGTTTTGGAGAGTGGAGCTCTTGTTCTTAGTGACCGAGGTATCTGCTGTATTGATGAGTTTGACAAAATGTCTGACAGTGCGAGGAGCATGCTGCATGAGGTTTGTTCTTTATCTTTCTTAACATTTCTAAAATCATAGCTTATAGTTTTTGGGTGCCCCTTGTTAATGTGGTCTCTAGTCCATAAGATTGCATTACTGATAAACATTGTTTCTCTGACAGGTGATGGAGCAGCAGACTGTCTCAATAGCAAAGGCTGGTATTATTGCATCTTTAAATGCCAGAACCTCTGTGTTGGCTTGTGCAAATCCTAGCGGCTCACGCTATAATCCCCGGCTTTCTGTTATTGAGAATATTCACCTTCCTCCGACTTTGCTTTCTAGGTATGTTCCATCCTTCAATAAACTGACACTATTTTTTCTAAAGGCTAATGGTTCTCTCTTTCGCATCACCATTGGTTTTACTAATTTTATCTCATTTCGCTTCTTAGATTCGATTTGATCTACTTAATTCTTGACAAGCCTGATGAGCAGACTGACCGAAGGCTTGCAAAGCATATTGTAGCCCTACACTTTGAGAATGCCGAGGTCTTATATTATATCTTTTCTCAGTGTATATGATATGTTGACAGGTAGTTGTATTTTGCTTTTATCTTACTTCATTGTTATCATTACATGTTAATCTGCAGAGTGCTCAGGAGGAAGCTATAGATATTACTACACTGACAACTTATGTTAGCTATGCCCGCAAGAACATTCATCCTAAACTATCAGATGAAGCTGCAGAGGAGTTGACCAGAGGATATGTTGAGCTGAGAAAAGCAGGGAAGTTTGCTGGTAGTAGCAAAAAGGTGTGCCCTCAGAACTTCACTATGTTTTCCATGTCGTAGCCAAAGCTCAAAAAAAGGTTATGATTAGTCTAACGCCTTAAATTCTCTGTATTTTGGCACAGGTCATAACAGCAACACCTAGACAGATTGAAAGTTTGATCAGACTCAGTGAGGCCTTGGCTCGGATGCGCTTCTCTGAATGGGTTAGTTAGTTAGTTAAACTCTCATGTTGAAGCCTTTGATACAATTTCCTTTCATCGTATCAAACCAACTGAAACAATTCTTGTGATGGATAAAGGTTGAAAAACATGACGTGGACGAGGCATTTCGACTTCTCAGAGTTGCAATGCAGCAATCAGCAACCGATCATGCCACAGGTAGTTTCTTCACTCACAGTAACTTTCAAACCCCATTATATCATATCATGAGGATAACAATACTAGCATTCAATACCAAGACCAACAATAAACACCTGTATTTAATATTTGGTGAAGGGACCATTGACATGGACCTGATAAATACTGGAGTGTCAGCAAGTGAACGAATGAGAAGGGACACCTTTGTATCGTCAATTCGAGACATAGCTCTTGAGAAGATGCAAATAGGAGGATCATCAATGCGCTTATCGGAGGTATTCATGCTTTACTCCTTTATTTTCCTTATTTGCTATATTCCTCCAAAGCAAAGCAAATCAATTCTACTTTTAGAGAAACAGTTTCTTAAGTAGAATGAGAATATTGTGGCAGTTACTGGAAGAACTTAAGAAGCATGGAGGCAACATTAACACCGAAATCCATCTTCATGATGTAAGTCATCATTTATAAGTATTACCAAAGTTTTGATTTTTGCCATTAAAGGACAGAGGAACTAACAAAGTAATTTGCTGTTGTGATGCATTAAAAACAGGTAAGAAAGGCAGTGGCAACACTAGCCAGTGAAGGGTTTTTGGTAGCTGAAGGTGATAGAATCAAGAGAGTATAATCATAGAGATTCACTAGGAGAGCTTAATATTTGCTGTGTGATTAGAGACCTTTTGAAAATTTTAGTAGCATTATTAATAGGATGCCTATCTATTAACAATTTGTGAATCTGTAATGAGTTTTTACCTTTTTCTGATTATTCCATCTAATACATTTTTAATGTTTCAATTATATCTATATTTTTGAGAAATACCTTTTTTGGTATACCCTTTTTTAAAATACCCCTCTTTTCTATTCATGTTCAAAAATACTCCTTTTCAAATATGAAAAATTATAGACTTTTATATGGTTGATAAGGTACATCAAAATTATCATTACTACTGGGAGACTAAATCCAATTATTTAGAAGGTTTTAAAATGTTCTAAACGGCATTTATATGGTTTTTATAAGGTTTACACAGTTTTTATAAGTTTTTTATATGATTTTTAAAAGGTATTTATATGGTACTTATGAAATATATATATAAATTTACACACATGTAAAGATAATTTGTGTCTGTAAATATAAGTTTATACATATTTTTTTGATAAATTTCAAATTTTATTGTGACTTTTTGATAAAGTTAGAAAGAGGTGTATTTTTAAAAAAGGTATTGGAAAAGGGGTATTTTTGAAATTCCTCCAATCTATTACAATTACTCCGACAGACTTTTGAAATTATTTTTCATTTTTTTTCAAAATCGTTGGAATTTTTTTAGGATTAAAATTGACTTTTATATTTTCCTAACAAAACAAAAAAATATTTTAGTCATGAAAAGAACTCAACTAACCCTTACATTTTGAGTTAGTTTAGTAACTAATCTCTAAATTTAGGTCAATCTAGTTTTTTCCCATTAAATTTAAAAAGGTTAATAGTGTTCAAAACTATTTATTTACAGTTTATCTCTCTTTTTTTTTTACCTATTTTTCAGAAATTGCTTAAATGTTGCAATTTTTTTTGGGATAATCTATTGTTCCTTATTGTGCGAGTAGTTCAATTCTCGTTTCTTTTTCTTCTATTTCCATCTCTTAAGTTGTTGTCCATATATATAGCCGTAATGACACGTTACGATACATGATTTTCCCTTGAGCTGAACAATCTTACAGTGATATAGGTTTCATTACCCTAGCTAGCTGTTAGTTATATACTGTCTCTCTTGTTCAGTTTATTCAGAACTAAGGATGTTGATGTTGAAGATGATGGTGTTGACGTTTTCAATATGTTCACATAATATTCAGATAATCGATCAACCAATTTTCAATATCGCATGCCAATTTCAAAAGATACGTGTGCAATGTTATATTTTCCCAGTCATGTAAATTCTAAAGATGTTGGGCAATTATTAGTTATTAATGCATCTTTTATTTAGGATAGTATCATCTTTTTTATTTGCATATGAAATCATGTATCATAATAAATTTTATGATAAGGCATATTACAATGCTATCGATATGTTATAAAATTATAATTACTGTCAATTATGAATATAAAAGATTAAGGTAAGAAATAGCAAAACATAAGGAAAATATGAGCGGAAACAAATAAAAGTAATATTGTGAAAGGCTAAAAAATATTATTTTTTCTAATATTGAGAGTAAAATATTACAAAAAAATTGACATTTAAAAAACTATTTCTCATAAATACCACTATTATTAATTTTATTTCTCAAAATTACCAGTTTAACATATATTATTTTAGAATATACCACAAAACTAAAAGTAAAATTTAAAATTTCAAAATTGAATACTAAATCCTAAACACTAAACCGTATCCGTAAAAACTATACCCTAAATGATCTAAAAATTTTTTTTTTTATATTCGTCGTGATTAAGACTTGACCGTGAATAAAAAGCACGCGTGTTCTTAACCATTGCATATGCATTACCTAGAGACATGTTAATGAAATTTCTCAAGATATGGTATCTAGACAAAAACAAGTAGTGATAGATTCCATTGATTTTCACCATCAACAAAAATGTCATCCTCTAAGGAGGAGTTACGTAACATGTGGGTACTCTACTTATGAATTATGATTCCAATGACAATATATAGTTTACCTATGCTGCTATGCATTATGAAGAGAGACACGTTGATGATTTTGATAAGAGATTATGGGACTTGATTCATTCAATTGATCTTCAAACTATGTAATCCTGAAATTGGTATTTAAATATTTTGAGAAACTTTTTTCTTGATAAAACATATATGTACACGAGAAAGATTATGATTATGCATTTCTCTTGAACATGAGCAAATAACCAATATTTTTAGACTTATTAAAAGTAGAAAAAATATTGCTTCTACTTTAACTAGTCTTCCCTCCTATTCCATAAACTGACTTGATGGAGTTAGTTATATGTTCACATGATATATAAGTATATTAACTAGTCTTCACTACTTTTATTCGTGTAAAGCTATCTATAATCATTATAAAAGTTTGAGCACTTGCAATTACAAACTTTTTGGCATGAAAAGTTGGATTGTACTAAAGAAGAAAGATAGATAAAGAAGATTTTAAAATTGGGTCCAAAGATGGAACATTATTGGATTTAGATAGATATGGTATATTGGTATGGTCTAAAAATGAGAAGTGCTCTCATTCGTCAAAAAAGCAAATACAAAAAGTAAACGATTCGATTGGTCTCTCAACTTTTGTGAGTCTCTGATTCTATTAAGGACGTGGAACTTGTTGCTCCTTACCTCTCTTAGTGCTCACATCTCTCTCACGTAGACCTAGCTAGTCTTCTTCTTATAAGTCAACTGGATTGTATTTTGATAGTGCTTCTTCGATTTGTTACCATTATTGACAATCTGATTGATCAAAAAGCACATATTTATTTATATTGATCAAAATAAATTGTTGATCTAATAAAATGGACCGGATCGCTAAATTATTTAAGTTTATTACACATTCTTTTCCGGCAAATCACATATTTGATATCATAGAGTGTTTATAAGATATACAAATATTTCAAAAACAACCGTTTACAAAAATATAAGAAATTATTACAATTCTAACTAAAGAATGGAGATTGGAGAGTAACCATACTATCTAGGCTACATATATAACATATTGTTAATTTATTTATTATGATAAAAAAATATGATGATCCGTCCTTGGTTGCTACCATAATGTAAAACAAAGTTCTGATTTAGAACGATTTAAAACATTATAAAATAGTACATAATGAAATTTTGAAAATGGTTTCCATGGCCATCAACAGTGACGTTTATATAAATGTCTATTTCGTTAAATATAATACTTTATGTTCCTTGAAGAATTATTTTCTACCTTTGTAAATAATAGAGAAATAACAAATATCTAATATATGAACTATACCTTTTATACCAAACATTTTCAAATAACTATAAACATGTTGTAGTAATCTAGTAAATATAATTATTTTCATTCATTACATTTTTGAAGTTTATAATTTATTAATATCAAACAATATAAAATTCAACACAATTCAACATAGAACAAATCTGAAACACAAGTCAACATAAAACAACCAAGTCTGAAATGGAACAACCGTATCCGAAGTAGAAAAGAAATACAAAATCCAAACACTAATTTATTATTGGGTTTGGTTTTATATAGAACGTTACTTCTTTATACTCGAATCCCAGATCATCCACCTGCGAATCACCCACTCATGACTGCCACCTTCGTCATCGCCCCAATCCAGTTCAATTACTTCAGATTGACCGTATCTAACCTCGAACTTATATTCATTGTTGGGTCCCCAAATCTTACGTTTGATACTGTTTATACATTGAACCCAAACATTTCTATCCCTGTTTTGTACAACATCGATACGATATAGTCCTTTGGTTCTCGGCCGGATGTTAAATGCATTAATCGGCGGTTCAAAAAACGCTCGATTTTTTAAGAGAACCCATCATTCCACCAGCGCCGTAAGCCAATTGAAACAAGACTGCTAGAGAATTCCTTGAACTATTGTATATTTTAAATGTAAAGTTAAATTGTAAATGTTTAGTTATAATTATAATAATGTTACAAATTCTTTACCTTAAAAAAAAAATCAAACAATATAAAATAAAGAAAAAAAATATTTTTTATTTTTTATAAACAGTATTGTTCTTCTCTGGTTTTGCAAATTTTTCTGGACCAATCATATTGTACAGTCTATGTGGGAATGGAATAAATTCTTAATCAATGTCTACTAATAACTCAATAAGCATATGCCTTGGTTGACAATCTAAATATAATATATTGAAGCATATCATCAATTATCATTATTTGAAAAAAAAATAGATTGCGACTGGTTTATTTGTAATGTATTGAAAAAAATGATTGATGTCGATGTACTAGGAAAAAAACTCCTATTTATCTATCAGAATGAAAGAAAAAAAAAACTCCTATTTCAAACTTAGACCGATAACCTTATGCAAAAACCAATAAGTCACCTAAAATATACTTTAACCAAGAAATGACATATTAATTATCGATCCTAAACAGTTTTTTTCTTTCTCTTTTCCATGCAATATAAATTTCTTATACCTCCTCTTTGGTTTTTCACATATATCATAATTTTTTTTAGAAATAGATATGTGACTACAAGTGAGAATATATTGTGCTACTGTTTTTGAAAAATAAATTAGTTAATTTTATTATACTATTTTCACATATATCATAATTTAAAAATTTAGTAACACTATCATAATTAAAAATTTTAAAATAAAACAAAATAAATCAAGAAGTAGATATGTATTCCAACTGAGAATCTGCCATGCTATTTTTCCAATATTTCATACTCATTTTCAAAATTTAACACTATCATCTAGATGAGTAGAACGGCGAGATTGAATCGATTTTAATAAAGAGACAAAAATGAATAAAAGAAATAAGAAATGACACTTAACTTATTGAATTTTGTTTTGTAAAAAAACCTTATTTGTCATTCACTTTATATATTTCAATAGAGCTTCTATATATATACATTACATTTGATCAAATTCATTCAAAATATAAAAACTTTACTAAGAGAATATAATCAATGGAAGTTAAGGTGAACTAGTAATTGAAACTCATATTTTAAAAGACTAATACATTGCATTCTTGTGCACTGCCTGAGCGGCCTGAGCCCTATGGTTTACCTCAGTCCCCTGGGTAGTTTGAGCATTTGCCTTAGTCTTTTGGGTCCAAATTCATTGATTCTGAACAACCT